GCGCCCACCCATTCACTGTTATATTTATTGCTCACTTTAAGCTTTATCTTATTAAAGGAAATGCTAGAATACTTGACAGTACGGTTGGCTCTCTGTATCCATGGGTTTTGCCTCCGTGGAGTAAACCAACCTTGGATCAGAAATACTCAGAAAAAAAACTGCATCTGTACTAAACATATACAGACTTTTTTCTTGTCACTATTACCTAAACAATATAGTATAACAACTATTTACACAGCATCTACATTGTATTAGGTATTATAAGTAATCTAGAGATAATTTAAAGTATACAAGAGGGATGTGTGTAGGTTATATGCAAATATTACCCCATTTTATAAAAGAGATTTGAGCATCTGCAGATTTTTGTATCCTCGAGAGGTCCTGGAGCCAATCCCCCACAAATACCGAGGGACAACTGTATATACAAACAATTGTTAACTGTAGAGGTGAAAACTACTTCTCAGACATACTTCACAAAGAGATGAACTCAGAAATCCCTAAAAATTTTTAAAGGAACTAATAGAGAATTCATTTAAAAGTAGTTTAAATATTTCATACTCACAGCAACATTTTAGACATACTGGATCCTATTTCAGATTTGGCCTAAACAAAAAAGAGAAAAGTTTATTTGCACAAGTATTAAACTGAAACTTTATTAGCCTACTGTATTTTAACGATCTTGATTTAAAAGATGTAGATTTTAAATATACAATGCACACAAACTCTCTTCATTCAAAGTCTTTACTTCAGAGCCTTATTGAATTTTTAAAAAGAAGTCACTATAAACTAACTTGGACATCCTTTAGGAAGAATTTTAGAAATAATAGTTGGCTAAAAATCAATTAAACTATTCCAGTAGGAATAACTAACACATTAATGAATTAATAGTCCTTTTACATTTCTGTTATAGACTCTCTTTAAGCTCTTTTGGGGCACTTTGATTAAAGTTCATTACAACTTGAGAGTCTATCATTTCACAATTCTGCGTGATTTATACAAATTTCAAATCTGAAATGGCCCTCAGACAATATTTTTATGAAATAATCAATATAATGTAAAGCAGAATA